TCGGCATTCATTCACGCGCCAAATGTTATGCGTGCGCTCGCATGTTAATGAGCAAGCCGATATTGTTGCATTGCTGATAGTGATAGACAAGCTGAATTACTTCCCATTCCGCTCAGCGATCACGTTGAAAATGAGCATTCGGGAATTTTTTTTTCGCTATCTGGCAGAAAGTTTTGCGCTTGCGTAAAGGTAGTCGTGAGTTTTCACTAGATGTGCCATTTCAATCAATCAATCAATCAATCAGGTCGAGTCTCCTCGGGAAGAATGGTGATGGCATGCCAGGATAGTCTGTGCAGCATAATTGACCGAATTTCATTTGCCATTTGCACGTAGTCGGACGATGACTGATGCCTGTGTCGAAGTCAGTGCAGTTATTAAAGGGGTCGTGTTTTGGACAGCAGACGAAAAACTCTAGAGAGTACATGTGGCAACGTGCGCCTCGTTCATTCGTGTTCTGCTCGATTTATAATAGTATTAACACGACAAGCACGAAGACTTGCTAACGTCGCCATAATAGATTAGAATGCACGCTTGATCTACTTACGACACCCTTCATTGTGCGGTGTAAGAAAAGCTATGGTAATTAGAACCGTACGAGATACTAATAGTAGATTAATGATACTCGTTATTCGGCTGTAGTTATACTGAGAGGCACGACACCTGCAGGCTTGTAATAACATGTAATCACTAGTACTTCCAGCAATTACAGAGCTTCACTTAATCACTGTCTCAGGGTGCAAAATTAACGGGAGTCCGGAGTCAAATACTCCCTGATTTACTGCCGGACTCCCTGATTTGACATATGCAGGAGTCCGTGTAACTACCTGAAAATTCTGCCATACTAATTAGTTCATTCCAAAGCACGGCCTCATGGAATTACCGTATTTTTTCAGCAAATGTCCAAAGAAAATTTGGCAGACGTGCAACCACATGAATCTTCAAAATAAGCACATGCGTTGTTAATATCTTTAATTTTGAACTTCAGACTGCGGACTCCCTCATTTTGCCGCGGACTCCCTCTTTTTAAGGGCAGGGAGGTTGTTGGACTCCCTTGTTCAAAAGTTACTTTCTACCCCTGCTGTCTATTAACAACCTGTACAACACTTGCAATGATTGGTAGTAGTAAAAATATATTATAAATAGTAGAATATGACTCAGGCTGTGGGAAATTTTACCTAAACAGACATCCGTTACAATTGACCGTTACACAGTAATGATATATGTATAAAGAGCATGCCCAGTAATAAACATCATCCTATCCTATCACCATCCTGGATAGCTCTAGTACTATAGCCCGCGTACAGCACAGGCACTT